CACACACACACACACACACACACACACACACACACACACACACACACACACACACACTTACTTCTATTTGCACAAGTGTACACATTCTAGCGACTTTGAATCTCCTTTGTGTCAAACCAGATTTCCTTGAGGAAGAGGAGGTGGTGGATGCAGAGGACGAGGCAGAGATTGTTGGCACACAGGYGCCCAGAAAACCCTCTCATCCGAGTCAAACTAGTCATACTTCAAACCCCTCTCATCAGCACTCGCGAACCGGGCCTACTCCTGCTGACAGGGAGGAGGAAGAAGAAGAAAAGGACCCAAAGGAAGAAGAAGTAGTCAACGGGATCGCACACCGAAGAAAAAGGAAACCGTTTCCACACAGAGACAGACACACGGGGAGGGGTCTGGACAGAGACTGGGGCAGAGATCATACCCAGGGGAGTACAAGACAAAATACCAGGAAGGAACTTGACGAGGATCAGCTCAGGGGTCTTCAGCCTGATGCGGACGGCGTGGTCCGGGGTCGCTCCTTGTCCTGGATGCACACCGGCCCGTCGGACCAAGACCCAATCAAGAAGCCAAAAGGCGCCGGGGGCGGTGTTGAGATACCACACAAACTTAGCAAGTCGTCACTTCTTTTCCCCCAAAAGTCCTCCCTGTCTGCCCTCGCCAGCCGAGCCAAGCAGATCCTCAGCAACTCCGCCCACAGCAAGCAACCCCCTAATAACAGCAACAAGCCTGCTGGCAACAAAAAGGAGAAGAGGGAGGAGAACAAGATCTACATCACCAGGCCCCGTCCTGCAAAGGAACGGGAAAGAGAGAGGGAGCAGCGACGAGAGAGGAGGGAAGAGAGGGCAGCTCACCGCCCGAGAGAGATTTTCCCAGGAGTCTTTTTATACCAAACTGGAAGGAGCACTAGACTGGTCAATAGGGGTCACAAAGGACATGGTGGAAGAGGTGTAACAGGGGTTAGGCACCTTATTAGTGCCCCTCAGCTTTGGCCAAATCCCCCCACAAAGGAAAGTAAAACATTAGCCCACAATGGAAACACCAACATACAGAGTGAACCTGCACAGAGGTCGAACAAAGCAGCAGTGCCAAAACAAACAGAGAAAAGTAAAAGGAAAAGGGGTCCTCAGGACTTCAGGACTACTGTCAGGACTGACCTGCCCATCAGCAGAGACCTCCTGATCCCACGCTCCTATCACCAAGACCCCCCTTCCACCCCAGCCACCCCACTCAAGTTCAACTCCACAGAAAACACGATCCAGGGTCAGTTACGGGTCACGTCTTACCTCAGGACCTCAGTGATTACAGAGTCCCAGCAGCAGCCAGAACCAGAGCTCAACCCTGCCGACATAGACCAAGAGACAAACCACTCTAATCCTGACCCCGACCCGGATCAGGAGCCAGAACCAGAGGAGGGGGAATTGTCCGACTACAGCTACGAGGAGGTCGAGGTTCGGCCGGGGTGGGCGGAGGAGAGCATTAACTGGCAGAGGACGTTCTCAGTGAACCCRATGGACTTTGAGCTGCTGCGCTCGGACTGGAACGACCTGCGCTGCAACGTGTCCGGCAACCTGCAGCTGGCAGAGAGCGAAGTGGTGGATGTGCTGGCGCAGTACATGGAGAAACTGAACGAACGCAACGGAGGGTGAGCATAAAGAGGCGAATAATATGAGACAACGAAGCGCGTTTTCCTCCCAGCCTCAAATATGTTTCCTCGCTAACAAATATGTAAAAAAAAAAAAAAAAAAAAGAATGCAAAGCAATTTTACTATATATGCCATGCCTTGGTGCTGTTCCATCAAATTAACAGTTCTCAGTGATTGGATTACAATGAGGTCTGTGGTTTGTGATTGCAAGCCTTGATGTTATTTGCATGAAATAGCTTTTCTGTTTTAATTTTGCTCCTTCATCAGCCATGTGTCACACCACAGTTAATTGGTAACAGCATATGTTTGATGAGACACATTTTTAAAGCCTTTGAAAAGGATTTGAGAAAAAGGGTGAATTTACAACTTTATTACTTTTTTGTCTGAGTATGTGTAGCCTGCTTTTGTATACTTTTATATGTGACCTATCATATTGAGGATTAAGTCAAATTTGGTCAAAATAACCTAACTACATTTTCTGATTCTTTGCTTTAAAAGCTACATTTTGACAACTGGATCATTCAGATATCATAAGCTTATCCAGAGAAATTACCTAATTTGTCTTGTTGGTTACGATAATACGTTACTGTTTAATTTGAATCCTGAGTCATTTTTGATGTCAATATAAAGAGTAAACCTCAAATATTATATTAAGATTTCACAGTTGGAAAGAAACAAACACTTTGGGGGAAATTTCTAAATTTTAAGGCGTTTTTCCTCAAAATCAGGTTATTTGTTGCTACTGCTAAAAATGCTTCAAGAATTTTTTTAAGGATTATATTTCAGATAGTTCATTCAAATAATATATTGATAAGGCATCAAATCATTATATTTTGACAAAATGTAATTTTTGCACACGTTTAAATCAAAACACTATATCTGCCCATTTCTCCACATTCCACTTTTGGACTTAATCCTTGTTTCGATGTGATGGCTCACATGTACTTTTAAAGAGAGGGTTTTATGCAAAATCTACTTTTTTGAGCTTTATATCAAGTTATAATGTCATTCGCTCATCAAAAACATGCCCAGAGTCTTGCTTTGGCTCATTAATGCATGTTTGAGAAATCCTTGAATCTCCTGTGGTAGCCATGTGCAGCTGCCTAAACACTTGTTGAAACAAAACACCGCCTATTTGTACAAAGCTCCTGCTTGAAGCTCAGTGTGCAGCTGAGCTCCCGCCTCACAGATAACCCCTGCCCTGAAGCATTGTTGTGAAGACTTGTTGAAGTGGGACTGTCAGAAACGGTAGGAGGTTTAAAGAAACAGAGACCTATTTCAAGGCATTTCAATAGACGATGTTGCAAAGTTGAACTTGTTTTTCATATACAGCTGGTAAAWTAAGTATTGAACACGTCACCATTTTTCCTCAGTAAATATATTACTAGAGGTGCTAATGACATGAAATTTTCACCAGATATGTCGGTAACAACCCAAGTGATCCATACATACAAAGAAATCAAACCATAAATGTCCAGAAATGAAGTTATTTGTAATAATGTGGAATGGCACAGGGAAAAAGTATTGAACACATGAAGAAAGGGAGGTATAAAAAGGCATGGAAAGCCAAGACACCAGCTGAACTAATGCACTGAACCACCATGGCCTGTATGCAGAGTTGTCCAAGAGTTGTCCAAGAGCCAGGGACCACTTGTGGAGAGCTTCAGAAAAACCTGAAAATTGGCAGTTACGTTTGTTTCAAAGAAAACAATAAGTAATGCACTGAACCACCATGGCCTGTATGCAGAGTTGTCCAAGAGTTGTCCAAGAGCCAGGGACCACTTGTGGAGAGCTTCAGAAAAACCTGAAAATTGGCAGTTACGTTTGTTT